GTAGCAACATTGAATAGATATATTATATGATCCACAAAAAATATGAGGCCTTCTAAAATTTGAAACCTGAATTGATCACCTCACTTTGCTATATCTTAGGCCAGACCTAATATTGAATACTTGTACAAATTTGGTTACATAGTCAATGTTTGAATTTTGTTGTCGTAGGAACCTATTTTTGGAGGTTGTATCTAGCTCGTACTTTACAAGTTTACAATGATACAATCTATTTTTATGAAATACGAGTTTCATAGATTTAAATATTTCCACTTTTTATTTATTTTTTTCCCCTTCTCCATCAAGTTTCTAACTTCCATTTGGACAGAAAAACAAGTACCAACAGAAAAACAAGTACCAAGAATGGTTGACTATTGAATGGGAACAAGTTCATCTTCAAGGTAAAAATAAAATATATGAATTGTAAGGAAGTGTGAATTTTCCATTTCCATAAATGAGAGATATTAAACAACAGTACACCCACTACACCAATAAAGAATCTTTTGAATTAAAGCTACTAAATTAAATATATAATAAAAACTTTATACTTTTTTTTCTAGAAATGAACCGACCGGGTGGTCGTCTCTTCAACAGATGACCAACTTTCAGTTTTTTAAAACGACAATATTTTAAAAATAAGTTTCAAAATCTACAATATTTTTAATATTTTTAATTAAACAACTATATTTTTAAAATAAATTTTATTTACAATAATATTAGAAAAAAAACCCGGGGGAAAGGGGGTGCCTGTGAATAACTAGAGGACTAGAAACCTGTGATATTAGCTTCTTAAGATTTCTGCCAAAGTTTTTTTATCCATTTAATACCAACGTTTTTGTTGATGTGTCGGGAGAAATTACGAATAGCAAAAGGGTTAGAAGTAAGAAGTAGGGAATGATGGTCTAGCTAATAGCTCTTTGATTGCATTAGTCCATGTATGACTATAAGATTGACATTTCTTTTTGTGATTGAAAATAGCAGCTTCAAATGTATGGTCTACCGGTTTTAAACAACATAAAAACAATTTATGAAAATTGCGTTATTTTATATTATAAATTAAAATAAATAGGTATCAACATTGAATAAATATATTATATGTTCCATGAAAAATATGAGGTCTTCTAAAATTTGAGACCTTAATTGATCACTTCACTTTCCTATACCTTAGGTCACGCCTAATATTAAAACCTTGGTACAAATTTGGTTACATAATCAATGTTTGAATTTTTTGTAGTAAGAACCTCGACTATATTTTTGGAGGTTGTCTCTACTTCATAATTTACAAGATTTATAATGATACACTCTATTTTTATGAAATATGAGTTTCACATTTACGTATATATTTATAGTCATAAATGAGGAAGAAAATTTGCATACCCAATATAAGTTTTTGACTTGTTAAAAAGTTTACATAAACCTAACTCTGCAATGATGATTCTTTATGTAACATGTTTTATAATGTTTATCTTGTAGCCATTTTTTACTTTTGGCTTTAGATGGATTGGTGGCGTTTAATTAGACATATGTGGTTTGTAACAAAGTTTACATAAAAGTAGATTACTGGAAAAAGTAAATTACATATCTATACTTAAACAGTATAAGGCAACACTTATTTGTATTTTCAAATACATTGCTACGAGCATGCTCCAACAATTATCTTATACGTTAAACAAAATTAAGCTAAAGTTGATTAGAAGAAATTAATTTTGTTTACATTTTGTGCTGCAGTTGTTTCAGATCCGCCCTACTTTAATTTGTTGTGTCGATTCATGTTTGTATTTTGTATTTTGTCTTTTATTTTTTGAAAGTCGGCACACCTATATTTATACTCAAAATTCTATATTGTACACAACTCACTGCAAAGCGGTAACAAATTGGTAATATTGGTTGTGATCAGAATACTTCCAAATTTATTGTTAAATGAATTCTCAGTGATACAGATTTGTGGTAGGCAATTATTTAGTGGTCTAATTTGGAAATGACATTTGGAAGGCTTTGGACACAGTGTCAAAAATGCGAAGCATCCTTACGAAGATTTCCTCTGTAGGAGAGGTATTGTTGTTTTATGTTATTGACGAATTTGTTAGGGTAACTACTCTTCGTGGCATGTGCTAATTTGCTCCTCTATAAATAAAATGTTATTGTTGTTGTGTGTTGATTAATAGTTTCACTAAATGGTATATTTTTGTTTGTAGTCGAGATTCTTCAATATTCTATTGAAGAAACAAGGAACAAAAAGACATGCCGAAGCTCAAGCTCAACAACATTTGGAAGGTTGGAATTTATAATATCATTGAAAGGATTTTTTGTCCTTTTGTTTTCCTTTTTTCCTTCCTCGTCAAGTTTCTGACTTCCATTTGATTGGAAAACAAGTAGTGACAGTTAGATACTTGTTGGTAAAAAGTTTACAATATCTTAAAGAAAAATAAAATATGTAAGTTGGGAAGAAGTGTGAATTTTCCCTTTTTATTTAATTGAGTTGTTTGTATATTGAACTCGAGCCTCCAGCAAACGAGGGTGTTGGATCATTGGATTCAATTTAGAAGATGTTGGAAATAGTTGAAGAACTCTATTGAAAGAGGGCTAGGAGTAAGAAGTACGAAATAACTTTTCCTAATTGAAAATAGGAGTAGCCAATGTATGGCAATAAGATACATTTCTTTTTGTGATTGAAAAAAACAGTAGCAAATGTATGGTCATCTAATTTTTAAAAAATAGGTAAACAATTTGTCGAAATTGTATTATTTATATTATAAATTAGATTTATAAATTAAAAATAAAAGTAAATATATTATAGGTTCTATGAAAATATAAGGCTTTCTAAAATTCGTGACCTTAGTCGATCACCTCACTTTCGTATAGCTTAGGTGGGGCCTAATATTTAAACCTTGATACCAATTTGATTATATAATCCATGTTTGAGTTCACCCCACTATATTTTTTTGGAGCTTGCCTCTAGTTCATAATTTACAAGGTTTAGAATGTTACACTCTATTTTTATGAAATACGAGTTTCACAAATTTAAATTTTTACATCTACACACATATAGTCATAAACGATGAAGAAAAATTGCATACCAAATATAAGCTTTTGACTTCTTAAAAAGTTTACATAAATCGAACACTTAGTCAAACATTTGCAATGAAGATTGTTTCCGTAACGACTTTGTGATCAATGTTTTGTAGCCATTTTTTACTTTTGGCTTTAGATGGATTTGTGGCATTTAATGTAGTCATATGTCATTTGTAACAAAGTTTACATACTAATGAATAGATTATTAGAAAACGTACATTACATATTTAAATTGATGTGCTTACTCAATATAATAATGCAACACTTAAATTGTACTTTCACGTAGCGATGAGCATGCTCTAGTAATTATGTTCTGGGTTTGAGAAATTAAGCTAAAGTTGATCACGAGAGATTAATTTTTGTTTGCATTTTGTGCTGCCATTTCGACCAAAAAAATTGTTTTCGTACTAGCCCTACTTTGTATTGAAGGTTAATGTCTTGTATTTGTTTCTTTTATTTTTCTTTTTTTAAAGTTGACACAACTCTATTTATATTAAAATTTTCATTCTATATTATGATCCAACAAGGCCAGACAAAACTATCTTCTCACATCGCGAAGGAGCATAATTGCATTGTTTGTTGGGAGAACATTTTCCAATTTAATGAATTCTCATTATTACAAATTTTTGGTCAATTATTCTATTGTCTAATTTGGAGATGGCCTTTGGCCTTTGGGAGGCTTTGGACACAGTGCCAACAATGCGAAGGGTCCCTTCACGAAGGTATCCTCCGTACAAGGTATCGTTGTTCGTCTTATTGACGAAATTGTTAGGATAATTAGTTTTGGTAGTATTATTATCATATGTGCGAATTTACTCCTTTGTAATTTGTTCGGGGATAAAATATCCTGAGTGCCACATGGAAGACAGAGATTGGTTGGCGAAAGAGATTGTTTGAAGAATTGTTCAGCTAAGCTCGTCCTCGGAACCTTCCGAGGAGGGAAGTTCATCATTCCAAATTGTATTACGACCTGGAAATTATCTGAGTTCGATCTACTCGAACCCGACATGTCCAACCTCGAAACCGACCAAGGTGACTGCCTGTCGCGACTCCTATCGGGACCTACACCTATAAATAGAACGACCTCATTTCACCATTAGGTATCGATTTTCTCCTCGAACTTAATATTGAGTCCGAGCTGCTTACTGGCTTGAGCGTCGGAGATTTTGCCCTTTTGTGCAGGTCTTCCCCATCGTCTTTCAGGTCGAAGCTAGGATTGGGTTCGAGCTCAAGAACCGTTGTGTGAATTCTTGCATAAAAATTTGGCGTCGTCTGTGGGAAGGACATTTCAAGTCATCCCAACAACTAAAAAGTGATCCGAGAATGGTGCAGCCAGCGAACTCTGCCAATACGACAGAATGGAGAGGTTTGAACGTTGACAATGGCACTCAGCGTGACCTCGACGCCAGAATAGTCGAGGACCAAGTCCGAGCAGGGCAAGAGGGAGATCTGCCACGAAGATCTATTCGCCATGCGAATCAAGAATTACCTCCTACTCACCCTAGACTTTCAAAAGCCAACCGAGGTCGAGGTGAGACCTCAAAAACGACCTCCCGAAGGGCTACCCCAGGCGCGAACCCTAAAGTTCTGGCTACCCTTCAGCGGGAGTTGGACGACATGCGCAATAGAGTGCGCACCATAGAGGAGATGTATACCGAGATGACACGGGCCAACCGGACAGGATCTCCCTCCAAAGTCCCAAGCGAAGAGGACATGCCTGAAGATGGAGAAGATGAAGATCCACCTCTCCACCCTGATGATCGAGAGCCCATCGCCAATAACAAAGGGATTGACTATAGCCTCAGAATCACGATCTCAGGAAGCACCTCGTCAACAAGAAGAAGAAGGCTTCAAGGGGTCCTGGGGTCTCTCCGTCCTGCTTTCGAGGATACTCAAACTCCGACCTCAAAGCTCAGTCGAAGTACACACCTATGACACCGGAGGCCGTAATTACGAGGGAAGAGTTTGACCTGATGAAGCACAGGTTTGATGAGCAGGTCGAGACATTGAAGGATAAATGCGAGAAAAATGAGAGTCCATTCAATGATGGCGAGATGGGCGAATCGCCATTCACCTCGGACGTCTTGGAGACCCCTATTCCTCCAAAGTTCAAAATGCCCGCCATGAAGCCTTATGACGGGTCTAAGGACCCAAAGGACTATGTAGAGGTCTTCGAAAGCCTTATGGATTTCCAAGCGGCCTCAGACGCCATTAAGTGTCGAGCTTTCCAGATCGCTCTCACGGGAGCGCTTGGCTCTGGTATCGAAGGCTGTCGGCAAGGTCGATCTCGACCTACAGTCAGCTGAGGAAAGAGTTCATCAGTCAATTCTCTTCTCGGCACTATGACAGGAAAATAGCCACTCATCTCGCCACCATCCGACAGAAAGAAGGCGAGACTTTAAGAGAATACGTGACCCGTTTCCAAGAGGAGCAGCTCAAGGTCACGCATTGCTCCGATGATTCGGCCATGTGCTACTTCCTCACTACCCTGGCCGATGAGACTCTGACGGTCAAGTTGGGCGAGGAAGCACCATCAACCTTCGCTGAGGTCTTGCAGAAGGCCAAGAAGGTTATAGACGGGTAGGAACTGCTCAGAACCAAGTTAGGCCGAACCGACAAGAGGTCCGACCAGAAAAATCAGGAGCCCAAAAAAAGGGGAAGTTCGACTCTAAGTCTAAGGACAAGGGGTCATCTTCTCAAGGACGAACTGACTACAGGAGGTCCGATTCGGATTCGAGCCGGAGGGGGCCGTATGAGGGGTACACCCCAACCACCATTCCGATCTCCGAGATTTTAACCAATATCGAGGAGAATGGTTTGGAGAAACTCCTCAAGCGGCCTGATAAGCTTAGAGGAGACCCAGAAAAGCGCAATAAGGACAGGTACTGTCGTTTTCATCGCGATCACGGCTATGATACCTCGAATTGTTGGGAGTTGAAGCGCCAAATTGAAGACCTGATTCAAGATGGCTACTCCAAAAAGTACGTCGGCAAGCCGGGCTCGAGCTCGATAGGCAAAAAAGAAGAGAGGAAGCGTTCAAGGACGCCACCTCGGCGGGATGACCGACCTGCGGTTATCAACACCATTTTTGGCGGCCCTAGTGGGGGCCAGTCTGGAAACAAAAGGAAGGAGCTTGCTAGGGAGGCTTGTTGGGAAGCTTGTGCCATTCAATAGCAGAAGCCGACCTGCCATATCTCCTTCTCCGATTCCGATCTCGAAGGGGTACACTTGCCCCACAACGATGCCCTAGTAATAGCACCACTCATAGACCATGTTCAGGTCATAAGAGTGCTAGTGGGTGGGGGTGCTTCTGCCAATATTCTATCTCTCACTACTTACCTGGCGTTGGGATGAACCAAGGCACGATTGAAAAAGAGCCCAACCCCCTTAGTGGGATTTGCAGGTGAATCTGTCACCCCGGAAGGTTGCACAGATCTTCCAATCACCATCGGCCAAGGCGACAGTCAAATCACTCAGATGGCCGAGTTCGTGGTAATAGATTGTAGGTCAGCCTACAACGCCATATTCGGACGACCTATCATTCATTCACTGCGTGCCATCTCATCGACCTTGCACCAAGTCATGAAAGGTCGAGAGTAACTACACAAGATAGAATTCACTCCTTCCCGACTTTAGGATAAGTAGATGAGTGTTCTCTTAAGTGCTGACTCCGGGACTTAAACAAGGGGCCCCACCCTCTCACTAGCCCGAGAGTAACTTTCGATTATTGGTTGGACCAAACCGAGTTGTTCATTAGAGGATCAGCGGTACTTAAGGTACAAGATGTAACACAGGAGTAAAACGATAATTTGACCGAACTGTGGTTACAAACACTCGTGAAGGATTGACTTACCGTTAATGGTCAAAATCCATGGACACAAAATATTCTACAGTAAGAAGAGTGCAACTATGAGTCTTTAGTGGAGTGACAGTTAATGAGTTTAATCAATTAATCCCGTATCATAGAGCCTCCGATCTGTAGGTCAATTAGATCCCCTTCTAGCCGTAAAGGATAGTTAAGACTATTTAGTCTTGAAAATAATTTGAATTGTTCAAATTCGTTAAAGGGAATCAAGGTTAATTGTATCAGATGCAATTAGTATAATCTATGTTGATACATTATAATATAAAGTTATGAGAGAGATAAATATTAGAATTTGATTCTAATATGGTTGATTAATGTAAGTTTAATTTAATTAAATTAATGTGATCTATTAATTTGGTTAAATTAAATTATATTTAATTTTTAATTAATAATTCTTTTTTGTAATGAATTATATTAGATTTAATTAATTATTATTTTAATTAAAATTGTTTTAATTAAAATAAAAGAAAAAACAAAAAGAAAAGAAAAGAAAAAAGGGAAAATGGAAAATGGGAGGAACCATTAATGGTGGGAATTCCGGAAGTGAGTGGGGAAGTGGTGACTTCCCCCTCACTCCTCCATCCCTATAAAAGGGGGGTTCTACCAATTTCTTTTTGGTCGTTTGAACGTTGGTGGAATGAGTTTCTCAAACTTCAACGAGAAAATCTCTCTCTTCATTTCTCAATTTTCCTTTCAATTATAAGACGGTTCCCATAAACCGAGTTCTTAACATCCAGAGGATAGCGAGGAAGATTTTTTTTGTGGCTTTGGTTTCTATATTGAAGAGGTGTCTTCAACGGTATGTATCACTAACTTTCATTTATCATGCTAAGGTCTATTCTTTGTTGTAATTCTAAAATAAGATCGAAGCACACACGCGTTCACGCGCTTCCGCTGCGAGATCTGATCCCTTCACATAACTCACTCACGATTGAGATCGAGTTACCTGGTTATCCTATTGAAATATTAATCTATTAGCTAATGGTGTTACAGCTAAAGATTAATCATTTCGCGGTCTGGTCTTATACAAACTCATTATATAGGGTACCCACACTCGCATGTCTCCACACGAACGACCTGGATCAAGTCATTTGTAACTATTACAAAGTTGGTCGTATCCATAGTGTTACCAGGATAAGGTACGGTACCTTATCCACATACTATAGACCCTTTAGGTTACTACTGGAATATTATCCACATGTATATCGAATATATACTGTATATATATACACTGTATATCAAATATATACGCTGTATGTTAAATATATACTGTATATCTATTATATACTGTTCCAGTTACATGACATAACCTCGGATGTTAGTTTATTGGATTTTGGTTAATGCAATTCTAAGAGAAACATCAATAACAACTTTATTGAATCAATAATTGTTTTATGTTTACGAACCGCGAGTTTATGGCATAAAACACTCAAAAACCCCTTGTTCAGGTCCCAGTGTCAGTATGTAAGGGAACACTCATCTACTTCCCTAAAGTTGGGAATGAGTGAATTCCATCTTGCGTAGTTATGTTTCCAACTCTCCACTCRGTCTCGTCCTCAAAATGATAGGATTATTGAGTCGGCACTCAGGCCACTCTCACTCATACAAATCAAAAGACGATCCTTTATACAAACTTATTGTATAAGATCGAGTTTCTTGATCATCATATGGGATAACAATCTATTGACTAACGATGTTAGAATCAATGATTAATTATTTCACGGTCCGGTCTTATACAAACTCATTGTATAGGATACCCCCACTCATATGTCTCTACATGAACGACATGAATAAAGTCGTTTGTAACTATTACTATTACAAAGTGGGTCGTATTCATAGTGTTACCAAGATAATGTATCAACCTTATCCATGTACTATTGATCATTTAGGTTATTACTGGAACATTATTCACTTGTATTTCAAATATATACTGTATATATACTGTATATCGAATATATACACTTATATAAAATATATTTTGTTCCAAACTTATATATCGAATATATTTTGTATATAGATATTGTATATCAAATATATACACTGTATACTAAATATATACTGATATACTATTCCAGTTACATTAAATAACATTGGATCTTAGTTTATTGGAATACAAGTAATACAAAGAAATAATAAAATAACTTTTATTAATAATAAATAAATTGTTTAGAAATTACAAACTCACGAGCTCAGGGCACTGAACCCAACAATATGTCTTAATTAGTTTAGATCTGCTAAAGTTAGCAATTTATCATTTAACCTAAGAGCTAACATATATTATATCTACATAACCTCTAAAATATCATAAGCTCAAATTTTCTCTCTTTGTTGGTAATAGGAGTGTAACAAACCAAACTGACCCGAATTGTGTCGGTTCGGGTTGGTTCGATTAAGATAAAGTATGAACCAAACCGAAACCGAACCGAACCAAAAATTTTCAGTTTGGATTGTTTAGTTTTGTTTTAATCTAAAAAACCTAAGTGTTAAGCGTCGCCTCCTCCCTTTCACTACTCAGTCACTCACGACACGACCTTGCAACCCACCCTCTCTCTCTGCCACAGCGGTAGCAACGAGTCACGACTAGTGACGATAATTAATCACGACTAGTGACGCTTCAGAGTGGTGGTCTTGAACGAGTGGCCATAGCCGAAGCCCGAGAAAGCACCACGACCAACGACGCTTTACCTGCGAGATCTGCGAGTCGATTTCTTTTGCTTTAGTTTTATGATTGTTTGGTGGTGGTGTGGAGATCTGAGTTTTGGCTCTTTGGTTTTGGGTTTTGTAATTTCTATAGTTATGTTTTGTCTTCCCCTCTTCACTAGTGTTGAGAATCCATATAAATGAATTAAATCTACCCAACCCATAAGCTTAAGCTTTTGGGTTGAGTGGTTGTTTATTCATCCTTAACATGGTATCAGAGTGGGTGGTCCTATGCTTGAGCCCCTTTGTTGGGTATTGTTGCAAGCCCACAAGTGAGGGGGAGTGTTGAGACACTCATAAATGAATTAAATTTATCCAACCCATAAGCTTACCCTTTTGTGTTGAGTGGTGGTTTTATTCATCCTTAACACCAAGCTTTCGAGATTTGTTGAATATTTGTGTACCAAATGGATTTATGAAATTTAAGCAACTTGTCTCATCTAGGTTGCATGATAATTTGTGTTAGTTCATACCCAACTTGTCTCGTCATACTGTTCTTTGGTTCATCGAGGCTTATGGATGTTGGGGTCAATCACTTTTTGACTTAGTTTCTGAGGCTTATGGGTGTTGGGGTCACTCACTTTTTGACTTAGTTTATGAGGAAATTGGAAATGGAAGAAAGATGTAAAGTACTGATGAGTTTAGGGACAGAATTTCGATAGTCATCCATGACCATGCTTGGTGTTATGATTGAGGAACTTTTCATCTACATTTGGAGACCACAACTCTTTCGTTAGCTTATGCTTATAATAGTAAGAGTGCCTTTCGAAATGGATGAAACCAAATTGAGCTAAGACAAAAAAATGGTGTCAATGGAAGAACAGAGAGAAGAAAATAATTATAAGAAAAAAAAGTTAGATAAAATAAAAAGGTGGGGAAAAAGTGTAAGCTACAAGAATTGTCAGAAACAGGAAGAGGAGAAAGAGGTTTGACCATCGTAGATTATAGGAGTGAGTCGTCTTAGGATCTATGAGTGACCATCGTAGATTATAGGTTTGATCTAAGAGTGATTCATCGTTCTAACCCTACTCCTGGTTGGAATGATTTGGTAAGTTAGTCACTTTGGTGAATATCTGCAAAGATCCTAAAAGGACCTCTAACTTTAAACCCACGCAACTTTGGCGTTTATCAGTATAGCTCTATCGGAGGACAAGCCAGTGAACACCACCCTTGGATTGCAATCCAGTAGTCGGCGAGTTCTTGGCGTGAAAAGGTATGACTTTAATCTCTAACCCTTCATCACTTTTGCTTCGAATTGGTTTACTTTGATGTTATATTTGTTTCGGTTGTTTACTTGATGAGATTAGACGATATTGATGTGGTTTGCTTTGGTTTATTTTCATGGTTGCGTGAATGGGTTGAGTCTCATGAATCCTTTTTTTTTTCTTTTTTGCTTATTTTCATTTAAGAAGTTTCATTTTATTTTATTAATTTACAAGATGACTTCGTCTGATTTTTCTAAGGTGACTTTGATAATCCTAACCTTGTTGCTAGTAGTAAAGTAGGATTGCTTGGTAAAGAAACTCTCTAAAGGTTCAGGTGTATGGGAACATTTTGTCATAGTAGAACGATGTGATCTTGAATTTTCTACGGTTGTTTGTAAATATTATGGGACTACATATATGCATGTGATTCTAAAAGTAATGGGACGACAAATTTGAAAAGGCATTTAGAGAAATGTAAGAAGTATGTTGAGAATTATGTTGAAGAAGGGGGATTTTGAAGCTAATTTGATAGCCACATTGTTTACTCAAGAGAATTGTAGAATGATGCGTGCTTTTATGGTCATATTGGATGAATTATCGTTTAAGTTTGTTGAAAGCGAATGATTTCATAAATTTTGCAGTGCATTGAATCCTAAGTTTGTAATTCCATCACGAGTAACGCTGTTGCAAATGATTGTTTTCAATTCTACATGATTGAGAAAAAGAAGTTGAAAAGTACTTTAGGTCGAAGTGGTCAACAAGTTTGTTTAACGACTGATACTTGGACTTCAGTTCAAAATATTAATTATATGGTCATAACAGCTCATTTCATCGATGGTGATTGTAACTTACACAAAAGAATTTTAAACTTTTGTCAAATAGCTAATGATCACAAAGGAGTACCATAGGAAGAGCAATTAAAAGATGCTTACAAAGTTGGGACATTGACAAAAAATTTACTATGACTGTTGATATTGCTAGCTCAAATGATGGAGCAATGACATATTTCATTATGAGCTGTTGTTCATGATAGATATAAACAAAGTAAGAAAAAAGATCCAGATGATGGAAAAACAGAGGTGACTCGTTATTTAGATGAGGGTTGTGCTGAAGATGAAGATTTTAATTTATTAAACTGGTGGAAGGTGAATTCTAGTCAATTTAAAATTATTAGCCAAGTAGCTAGGGACATCTACAATATTCCTATGTCTACTGTTCAAATTGAGTAAGCTTTTAGTACTAGAGGACAGGTGTTGGATTCTTTTAGAAATGAGACACTCATTTATGCATAAAAAGTCATGTTATTGTAATATTTATTTGAAAATTTTGTTTATTCTACTGTATGAATTTTAATAAACTATTTATTTTTCTTTCTTATTTAGAATACTCAAACATACGTAAGGAGATAGAAGTTGCCTTCGAAAACTGTTCTAACTTCTACTCTCAAATATCGTTTATCTCTATTTCATTTATATGCATTTTATTTTATGCTAAATATTAAATAATAATTCTTGTTTCTTTTTTAATGTTTTGAAGCTAGAGATGGAACTGGAGTCAAGACAAAAATCAAAATTCAACTAGTTACAATAGATTAAAAAAAATTTATTTTTTGTTATAATTTTGTAAATCTCATTATCAGAATATTTGTTTACGTAAAATGATATATAAAATCTTGTTGAATATGTTTTAACTTTTAGACGTTATCTTTTAAACCTCAAAATTAGATGTTATTGTTGGGTTTTGGCAAAATATTGGAATTGAAGTTGTCTCACATTGGAAGAATACAAGGATGATCTCCATGTGCTAAAAGTTGTCCCACATCGGAAAAGTACAAGGAGGAGATGTGTTCTAACTACTATAAAAGGAGCTCATGGCTTGGGTTTTAATCATTCCAATTGAAATACTTTAAGTCTTGTATACCAACTCTAGTTAACTGAGCGGTATTTGCTTTAAAAGAGTGTTTTGTATAATTGGGTAAGGGAGAGAAATCTGTGTGATTGTAATAATTTTTCACATAGTGAATTTTCCCTTGTGGGCCGTGGTTTTTTCTTCGGTTGGGAGTTTTTCCACGTTAATTCTTGTGTTTCTTTATTTTATTGCTTTCTTTAAATTTCTCGATTATTTTCTGCTTATTCCTTGAGTAGAAGTAGGGGATTTTTCCCATCAAGTGGTATCAGAGCTTTAGGTTTGTAGTTTCTAAAATTTCTGAGTATGTTCTTTGGTTGTAGCATTGTCTAAACTTTCACATCAGAAAAGATTTCTTGAAACGAGCTACGGTTCTGTGAATAGTGTGGCTTATTCACTATTTGCATATTCGTTAGGGGTGTGAAGCAAATATGTCATTCTTTATGAGTCCAGTGAAGATTGACGTGGAGAAATTTGACGGAAGGATCAACTGTGGCTTGTGGCAAGTGCAAGTCAAGGATGTGCTGATACAATCTGGGTTACACAAGGCGTTGAAGGGAAGACCGAGTGAAGGTGTTTCGGAAAAGCTAAACGGTGATGGTGGTCCAATGGAGTCCAGTGGTGGTTCCAGCAGAGATTCTAAGAAGTCTAGCATGAGTGATGAAGATTGGGAGGAAATGGATTTAAGAGCTGCAAGCGCGATACGAACAGGTTTGGCTAAGAATATTCTTGCAAATGTGCATGGAATTTCGGCAGCCAAAGAACTTTGGGAGAAGCTCGAAGCGTTGTATAGGACAAAGGGCATCTCAAATCGACTGTACCTGAAGGAGCAGTTTCACACGCTGCGAATCGAGGAAGGTACGAAAATTTCAGATCATCTGAGTAATCTCAATAGCATCATCTTTGAGATGGAGGCGATTGAAGTGAAGATAGATGATGAAGACACTCAGGCTCATCTTATCACTTCCACCTTCTTATGAACACATGAAGCCGATCTTGATATATGGGAAGGATACTTTGAATTTTGCCGAGGTTACTAGTAAACTCTTGTCAGAGGAAAAAAGGCTGAAGAGTGAAGGGCGTACTTCACATGAAGATTCGGCACTGGTAGCTAGCAATTGGAAGAAGAAGAAAGACTCCGTACAAAGAAAGCTTGTTGCTGGGGATGCGGACAGTCTGGACACATGAAGAAAGATTGTCCCAACAGAGCCGGTTCGTTAAAGGGCTTTAGGCAGGATGCTGACAAGGTTTCTCTCATCAGGGGAGACAATGATCTCTTCCTTTGAAGAGAGAGAGAGAATTCATCTTCGTGGTATGTCCGCTTTACCATGATAAAGGATGTGATGTTAGCGGTTCCACAAATTTACACATGGGCATTGGCTTGGCGGTTATGCAAGGTGTGTGTGGTGGAAGTTATGTCGATGGATGAAGAACTTCCAAGTGAGCCAAGTAGGTGGAAGTTGTACCATAAATCTCAGCAGGATTTATCGACGTGTGACGAGGAAGAAAAATCTTGGAAGGCGATATTCCAAGTGATCTACTTTTATGGTGGAGTAGGCTATAGTTCTCTGAATTGAGAATTATGATTGTCGGTGAAGACAATGAGTGTAGTAGAAGCTGTGAACTTTTTTCAATATCTTGCCAAGGTGGATTTTGTTGGGTTTTGGCAAAATATTGGAATTTAAGTTGTCCCACATTGGAAGAATACAAGGATCTCCATGTGCTAGAAGTTGTTCCACATCGGAAAAGTACAAGGAGAAGATGTGTTTCAACTACTATAAAAGGAGCTCATGGACTTGAGTTTTAGTCATTCCAATTGAAATATTTAAGTCTGGTATACCAATTCTAGTTAACTAAGTGGTATTTGTTTTGAAAGAGTTTTTTGTATAATTGGGTCGGGGAGAGAAATCTGTGTGATTGTAATAATTTTTCACATAGTGGATTTTGCTTTGTGAGCCGTGGTTTTTTCTCCAGTTTGGAGTTTTTCCACGTTAATTCTTGTGTTTCTTTATTTTATTGCCTTCTTTAAATTTCTCGGTTATTTTCTGCTTATTCCTTGAGTAGAAGTAGGGAATTTTTCCCATCAGTTATGTGATCACACATTGTTGCAAAAGTAATATTATGTTTGCCTCAAGCAAGTTTGAGGCACATAATTTCATATTGTTTCTTTGTTTTTTTCTCAGATTAACATAGAATAGACGCCGTGTATTAAAACAAAAAAAAAAAACTCAGTTCGATTCGATTAAGTAAAGGCGAAAATATGTACTGACTAGAGCGTCAGAGTGCTCACTCTATTTTGTAGGTCCATTCTACTTCGATGCGCACAATCCAAGCTTCGCACATCTAAGTTTCATCATTTTCACAATCAAGCAACGTGCATTCACATAAGATTTTTTTCATTATCTTGAATTTAGGAGTTAAAATATAAATTTTGAAAGTTGAGAGATCAAAGGAAAGAAATTTGATACTTACCAGATGAGATATAAATTGATTTATAAATGGAAGAGCAAGATGAAATATTATAACTTATAGTAGCTTTTAAACTTAAACCCCTCTCTAATTTTTGAGACGAATTACCTATTACCATCCCAAAGATTAATGGCTCAACTCCCGCCTCTACACCTATCAATTCAAAAGAAAGGACCAAAAATTCCAAAACAACTCCCTCAGTAAAAGAACTAATTTACACTTTTTATAGAATTTCTTACAGGAAGAAATGAGAAATTCTTAATTTGATTGGAAACAAGGGCGGTGATTCGTATCTACGACCTATAATGACAAGAAACAAATGCCGAGTGAACCTAAAAATAGTCCATCAATATTTGCATATTTTATATTTTCATCAACATTGACATGTTTTATATAYGTACATTAAAGTTTACAAAGATAACCGCATACATTAGAAAATAATGAAGATTTTTAGAAGCCATTAGCACTAAGGGAAGTTGAAATTAAGGATGAGCTAATCAACAGAATGTCTCTATATTCCTTTTGAAACTGAATTATGAAACAAACTTTTGGATCATTTCTCTAACTTCTTCAATCACAAGCCAAGCCTTGTGCCCTCCAATTACTTCTGCTTTCATCTCTCCATCCTTCCAAAGCTAAAAAATAATTTTAAAAAATTACGAACTCATTCGTAATTCTTTCGACAATCGAAAGCTATAAAAGTTACGGTGGGTACTTTGCGATAATCAAAAGCTTTCTCTTTCAATCGGGGAATAACTGATAAACGTGTAAAATACTTTTGCTAAAATTACTTTAGTAATTTAATTTCATACTGTTTAGTTTAATAACCTAAAGTGATTTCTCAAATTCCGAAGACAAGTAAACTTGGCTTTGAAGTTGATTGTGGTCACTAAAAATCATCATGTTCGGGGTAACATAAAAAAGTATAGAGTGCTCTTGGAAGAAATGATTTTTGGATAACACAAATAAATAAATAAACCTTCATTTTGTGTCAAGGAAAAAAAAAATACTTCTGAGTGAAATCAAACAGCGAAATTCTTCATTATTAAACACTTTTTACTAAGTTGTGCATGATCATATTACTTTGGCTTAAAATACTTTAAAATAATTTCCAAATACACCCTTAAAATTACTTTAAAATATAGCACAAAAGCATTGTTTCTATTACAAGTTATAATAAAAGTGTTCACTTAAAAACACTGTCGTGGAAATCATTGAAAACTTACTATTATTCTAGAAGCATTTTCAAATACAGCTTAAGGATGTGTGTTTGGAAGTGATTTTGACAATGACAAATTAAAAAATGCATTTTAAGAAAATTCAAAATCACTTTAAATTGACTTTTATTCTTAAATATTCTTTTTTCTAAAATCACTCCTTCTATCTTCACTCCCAAACACGCTCTAATTTACCAAACATGATCAATAGCGAGGGAAGTGATTTTGACAATGAGAAAAGTGATTTTGGCTACGCTAAAATCACTCTCAAACACACCCTAATATCAAAACAACCAAATTAAAAGTGGTCACCTGAATTGTTGGCATTTTCTGCACAAGATGAGAAAAAAAAAGGAAATATGAATTGTCAAACTACATAACTAGAAAAGAAAGGATTTCAAGAACTCAAAATGGGGTTTTAGAGTACACTTACAGAGATGTTTCCACGTTTCACTAGAGATTGAGGGACCTTATTCACGTCCACATAGTAGAATTTCGCTCTGAGAAAATTTAGTAATTTATTGACAAAAAATAGAAGAAAAAGTGTAAGTATAAATACGAATATAATATAATTAGTACGGGATAGAATCAACTTTAAATGATTCTTCAAAAAATAATTACAAGT